TTGAGCTATCTACTTCAGGCCTCAAAGATGGTTGCTAGATAATTCTTGGCAAGACTCACAGAATAGTGGACAAAAGTATTATTGGGACTAGAAAGACTTGAGTCTGACATCCAGTACAAACTTTTTACAAACTGTGTGAACCTGAAGAAGTCACTTCAGCCTCACCTTTCTGAGTCTCAAGTTTCCTCACTTATAAAATAGAGTAACACCTCATAGTACAGTGCTTGCAGTGAGAATCCACTACTGTATTTCTAGCACTTAGAATGCCTGGATCAATAAATATTTGTTAAATATTTTCTGAATGTTTTCACTTATCCATAAAATTGCAACTTCCCTTGGAGTTCTCATAATGTCTGAAATGTGCACATCATTTTCGGTTTATAGGGACCCTTAAGTAAGCTTGTAATAAGTTGACTAAATTGCATACCATCTCTCAAGTAGTTAATGCATAATAGAAGCTAGATTTTAAAAAATACTTTAAGAAATCCTTAAGTAAAGTTAATTATTGGGCTTTTCTTCAAAATGCATGACTGGATTGATGCAGGGTGCTCCATGACTACCAAGCACATAGAAACATTTAAAACTAAGAAATGGAAAAATCCAAATTCCATAAACAAGGAGTAAACTAACAGCTAAACTGGTGAGCAGGAGTTGATATCGGAACTGCCCAAGGGGATGTCAGAATTGAATATACATTTTTGATGCTGAGGTTATATTGCCTTTGTGACTATGAAGCCCACATTCATGGCGATGGGGGACGAGGGGAGGTGATTGGGGCTGGAACTTCCTGCCTAAAGCTAGAAACCTGTAAGTACCTGTTTTATCAGATTGAATGGTGGAAGTGGAAATAGAATACTGACTGGACAGAGGAAGCGATATGGAAGCTTACCACCCATCCTGGACCATGGGTGGAAAACAGAGCTATCCACAAGGAATTAGAAAACTACGCCAGTTCTATACTTGGATGTAGGGCCATATTCACACTATTCATGGTGTATGGAAAGCCTGAGCTGAGAACCAACCTTAAAAGTCCATTCAAAGTGGTAATTGGCAGAATAGCTTGGTCAGATTAATCTTTCTGTAGTAACAACTAAAAATCTGGAAAAATACCTTAAAACAATGATATTAAGGCACTGGAGAGGGACAAAAAGCATGTAGAAACTGTATGAATCCACTCTTAAAATATAACAATTACAACTGGTGTAATTTGAGACCTTGAAGTTTTTTGTCTATAGATATTCCTCAATATGCATGAAGCTCAGGTTAGCCAAAAGCCAGAGCCTACTCCTTGAGACAGCACAGGACACAGTTCAGGGCTTGTGGAATGACTGGAAAGTTACTGAAGAAATTGTGGAGAAGAAAACACTGCAGAAAGGGTGAACCACAAAATCTTACTATAAACTGGGCTAAAATCCTTGGCAGACCACTAGACTATGCATGTGCTGGGAAGGCCCCAGAGAGCCCAGCTGACAAACAGCAGGTAGAAGTTGAGGGCACTGAGAAGAGAATTCAGATGCTGCCCACCACAGGCAACATCAAGGTAAATTACCTGCTAGACCAAAACAAGAAAAACAGAACTCTCAGAGAAACATAAAATTCAGAGCCTCTTCAACATACTATCATACTACCCAGTACACAATCAATCAAAAATCACTGGATATGCAAAGAAACAGAAAAATGTGGCCCATACTCTGGAGAAAAATCAGGCAGAAAAAAACCAATTCTGAGAAGACCTAGATGTTGCAACTGGCAAACAAGAGACATATTTTACAGGAAAATACACTCATACCGAATAAACAGTTTGATAATCTTAGCAAAGAAACAGAAATTTAAAAACTAATCACGTAGGAGAAGGCCTATTTGAAATGTCTTCTGTAATGGTGGCTTAAAAAGTTCAGGCAATTGCTCTTGAAGATAAAAATTATAAAAAGGGGTCAAAAATACTTAAAACAACTTCTGCTCCACAAAAGATAATGTCAAGAAAATGAGCAGACAAGCCACAGACTTGGAGAAAATATTTGAAAAAGACGTATCAGATAAAGGGCTGTTATTAAAAAAAAAAAAAAAAAAAGACTCTTAAAACTCAGCAGTAAAAAAACAAACAACCCAATTAAAAAATGGGCCAATGACTTCAACATATACCTCACCAAAGAAGATATACGGATGGCAAATAAACATATGAAAAGATGCTCCCCATCATTTGTCATCAGGGAAATGCTGATTTAAACAATGAGTTACCATTACATATCTACTAAAATGGCCAAGCTCTGGAACCAGTTGAGAATTTGAAACTGAAAATTACAGCATTTAACATCTCTATGCTCACCACTTCTATTCCCTATTGTACAGGAAAATCTAGTTAGTACAGTAAGAAAAAGATACATGTCGTGTATATATTAGAATGAAATAAAACTGTATTTACAGATGATATCATCATGTACATAGACAATCCTAAAGAATCGACAAAAATAAATCTACTAGAATAAATTCCTGATTTAGCATGGTTGCAGGATGAGTTCAATATTAAAAAAAAAAAAGTTTTCTGTATCTTGGATCTCGAAGAAGGAATGAGAAGTCCCAAAGTGATGCCCTAACAAATGCTTTTAGGGTCTGACAGAGATAAAGATCTTTAATAAAACAGAAATTTAGGTGAGAAAAAGTGCTTCAGCAAAACTTCATATAATAAGAGAAGAGATTCCATCTTTCCGCAGAAGCATACCAAGCCTCTGGCTGACAAAATTATTTTGAGTGTATAGGACTAAGAATGCATACAGAACTTTGAGGTGCAAAGCTAGATAGCTCCTCCTTTGCAGTGACTGTCTGGGTTGACCACCTGGACTCTGTCAAGGATAGAAACCTCTGATCTCCAGAATCTCGGATTGTTATATAAGAAGACGTTAAAGTTGGACTCTTCTGATTTCAGTTTCACTGAGGGACCAATTCTTTGGCTATCGATGGATGCCAAAGTGACAGTGATTAGAAGTGTGAGGTTCCACATTTAAAGCTTAACTAAGGAGCTTTCTTCAGAGTCTGATATGTGTCCCCTGGAGCCTGGGGACACTGTGGACAGGTATCTCATTTGGGTGTAGAGGAGCCAAAGGAGACATGATGACCAAATATAATGTGGTATCCTGGATGGGATTCTGTTAACATCAGCACTTTGTTTCTTTCCATAAAACAGCAGATAGCTTGTTCTCAGCAAGAGAGGCTACAAAACTTCAGAAAGGAGACTGAACCTCAGGGCTTTCTCACATTAGATACCTGTGTTGCTTTGTTTTGTTTTCAAAATGCATCCAGCATTACATGTGTCTTATTTCTTCCTCCACTAACTACTCTTTAAAATGAGAGAGAATGGAAGGGCGGTGTGAGGTGGGGGTACACAGACTTGCCAAAGCAAGATACTGACAACCTGGTCCCACAGCACTAGGAGCATCTTTCACCATCTTTAAGCAACACTCATATTTCCCCCAGTGGATGCTCAAGTCCCCTGGTCTTCCCAGATTCTGCCTTAGGCCCAGATACTCTGGCCTGGCCCCCATTACCCTAGAGCAGCAGTCCCCAAACTTTTTGGCACCAGGGACCTGTGCTCCTATGAGAATCTAATGCCTGATGATCTGAGGTGGCACTGAGTTGGTGATGCTAGAGCTGGGGAGTGGCTGTAAATACAGATGAAGCTTCCATGGATCATGAGCCTGCCACTCACCTCCTGCTGTGCGGCCAGGTTCCTAACGGCCACAGACTGGTACTGGTCCATATCCTGGGGGTTGGGAATCCCTGCGCTAGAACCTGGGGCTTTCACAGCTGCTCAGAGGCCCTGGAGGCACATCACAACCAGCTTGGAACTGCGAGAGTTTACCTGAGTTCTGCCTATGCTATTTGCGTGCCCTGAGGCCTGGGCTGGCTGAGGTACTGTTTCTTTTGCCTTGGCAACCTGCCATAGCCAGTCAAGCAGGGCACCAGCAATCTGAGAGTCACTTAGGGCTGGTTTGGAAGTCATTTCTCACCAGAACTAAGCTCACAAGGCAGCATGAGATCCTGATTGTAGTAGAACCAGGGACTTAATGACCACAGTGCTGCAGGGGACTCGGGGTATACCTGGTCACGCATTTCCCAAAGTACGTAACTTAAGCATTGACTTTTAGGACAGTTAACAGATTCTACCCCCAAAAAGTATCTCATAATAAGGGAAATGTGTAAAACATCGGATTCAAAACATATTGACACTTCTCTCTCTACATGTCTTCTTGGAACCTAATTGCCAAGAAGTAGCATTTTCCCAATTTTGCTGTGTGACTGTTAGCTGAGCTTCAGTTTCTTCATCTACAATGTAGAGATAATAATGCCCTTGGAGAATTGCTGTAAGGGTGAATGAGATCATGAGCGCCGAAGCGTTCAGCAAATCTCAGTCCCTTTCTCCTCCTTCTTCGTTTTATTCTTTCGAATTTTCTACTAGGGTCAATAAATTACCCCTATATACAACCTTTCCTGAAATTATTTGAAATTGATTTCTGGATGGCATCAGGGTAATTATGTATGCAATGAGACT